TGTCAAGCCCCTTGGGTGAATCACTTTCATCCCAGGTATTAGATCTGTGTAACACTCTGATAAAGGGGTTTTGGTCCCTGGGACCAGGCTGCAGATGGAGGCTCTGAGCATACCTTAAACATAGTTCATTGTCTATTATGCAGAAGAGATCTTCAAAAATCACTCACCTGCACCAAAGAAATGATTACTGTGAGGTAACATTTATTAAGCACATGTTGTACAGCTGGCAGGGTTCTAAGCTGTTTACATATGTTACCTCATTTAATACTCACAAACAACCCTCTAAGGTATGTTACCATCATCCCCCGTTTTCAGATGAGGAAGCTGGAGCACAGAGAGGTTAAATAACTTGGTCAAGGTCACACAGCTAGTAACATAGCTTATCAAATCCCAAGTACCTCTCTATGGCAGACCTTGGCAGTACTGAGATGAAAACACACATATTGTTGGAGTCTGGCAGAGGGAGCACATCCTTCCTTCTTAGGAGGGGAAGGGAATTCCAGGAAGAGGACCTAGCATGGGGAAGACTTCAGGGCTTTGGGGGCTGTGTGCCACTCCATGTGGCTGGAACATTAGGTGCGTGTTGGAGAGAAGTGGGGAGTGGGGGATGGGGGAGCAGCAGGCAGATGTTGAGGGGCCCTGTGGCTCAGGCCTGAGACTCTGCATTTCATCTGGAGGCTCTGGGGAGCCAGGCAAGGATTTTAAGCTGAGAAGGAGCTGTGTGACAGCTTGTCATTGTTGCCCCTGCCAGGAGGAGAGAGGAGGGTGTCTAAGTCCCTTGGACAAAATATGATCCTTGGTAAGATAATGTGTCAGCAACCCATGTCCTAGTCCCCAGAAGGGAGGGCTGCTCCAGGCTAGGGTCCCAAACGGGCCTGGTTTGTCATCATTGAGGAATTTGATGAGGGTCACTCAGATTTCTGGCGAAGGGCTAGTGGTCACAACCTCTGGCTTATATTGAGATTAGCTGATTAATTTCAACACACACCACACACCAATTGCAACACTGATAGGAAACATCTGGCCGGTCCAGTTTCAGCATCTTTGAGCCTTACTTGAAGCCATGCTGTTACAGGCGAATGCTAAGGTTTTGGGAAGTTCTATTGGAGAGAGGGGTGGCTGTTTAACAAGGCATTTCAAAAGGAATAACATTCATTCTGAAGTGCAATCATGACAGAAGGATTTGGCCTCCAAGGGCCTCTGGAATTCTTTGGAAGAAGGCGTTGGCTGTGTAGCTGACACTGTACTGGCTGGGGAGATGGGTGGGTTTTTGGCAACATGAGGGATGAGGGCAGGGACAAGTGCTGCCCCAAGCATTCCTGCCTGGCCAGCAAGAAAGGCTTGTTGGACATTTCCTGTTTAAACAATGGAATGTGTTTTGCTTTTGCAGAGGATAGTCTTGGAGACTGGGATGGGGTGGGGGAAGGAGAGGTTCTTGGAAATGAAAATTTAGCATGAAGTCAAGGACCCCAAGGAGCCCTGGAGTGACAGGCCCTCCGGTCTTCTGTACGCCCTACTCCCCACCAGACATCCATGACCCTGCAGTGGCACTTGTACGAGATGGCGCGCAACCTGAAGGTGCAGGATATGCTACGGGCAGAGGTTTTGGCCGCCCGGCGCCAGGCCCAGGGAGACACGGCCACAATGCTGCAGCTGGTGCCACTCCTGAAAGCCAGCATCAAGGAGACTCTGAGGCAAGCCCACAACCACCCATACCACCCCCAACTGCAGTCCCTGGGCAAGGCCAGGGAAGTGACTGGGGCAAGGGTTAGGAGGATGGGCTGGTGGAGGAGGTTGGAAGCAGGAAGGGAAAAGTCTGGAGGAGAAAGGAAATAGAACCAGGGCCCTACTCTGGCATGAGTGCCATGCAGGGTGTGGGACTCGGGGGCTGCGACCAGCCTTCGGGGCCATCAGCTTCTGAGTGCCCTCCTCCTGCAGACTCCACCCCATCTCCGTGACCCTGCAGAGATATCTTGTAAATGATCTGGTTCTTCGAGATTACATGATTCCTGCCAAGGTAGGTGCAGCCAGCGGGCTGCAGGCTCTGCCAGTCAGAGAGGGCTGGAGCAGGCTGCAATTGCAAACAAAGGGTGGCGCTGGGGCCCTGCTGGGGCCCTTGATGGCAGCAGTCTCACTCTGAGTGAAGGGCAGAGGTGGTGGGCCTGGTGGGCGGTGACCTCTAGGATGTTATTGGAAACCAGGGTTAAGTGGAAGACTTCACGTTTTGCCTGGGTCTGAGGAAAGGGTGGAACGATCACCCTAGCCTTGTGTCTTCTGCCGTCCCCATTTGGTGGGTAAGGATCACAGAGGGATGGGGCCTTGTTCAAGGTTGCACAGTGGGCAGAATGTCCTGCCCTGGAGAGCCGGGCAGCTATTCTGGGGAGTGGGAGTGGTGGTGAGAGGGCAGGGGACTGGGGAAGGGTTGTTGTGCTCAGGGCTGTGGGGAGGCAGGGCCTACTCAGGCCTCTGATCGCCTTGCCCCAGACACTGGTGCAGGTGTCCCTCTATGCTCTGGGCCGAGAGCCCACCTTCTTCTTCGACCCGGAAAATTTTGACCCAACTCGATGGCTGAGCAAAGATAAGAACGTCACTCACTTCCGGAACTTGGGCTTTGGCTGGGGTGTGCGGCAGTGTCTGGGACGGCGGATCGCCGAGCTGGAGATGACCATCTTCCTCATCAATGTGAGTCAAGCTGGGGACATCTGGGCACCCTGGGCTGGCCCTGGCCCCAATGACGGCACCAACCTTCCTTCTCCTATCTGTCCAGAGCCCAAGGAGGTCAGGGCTGGGGCACGTCTACCTCCAGTTACTTGCTCTGACTCTCTCCCACAATTCCCGGCTGCCCCTCTTTGAGGCTCAACCACTCAGCACCCACTGTTGCCCATGGTGGTGATGGGATGGGACAGGGCTGAGGTGTGTAGAGGAGTTACGGTCTAGGCCTAAATCGAGGGAACGGAGCGCTAGGGTGCATTATCGGCACTGTGCAGGGTTACACAAGGAGCGCTCCTCACATCACACTTCATGGGCACTGCCTATGGGCGAATGGGCCTGGCCAGGGAGACAGATCCTCCTCTGCACCCCCCCAAACATACCATCGGCCTTTCTCAGATGCTGGAGAACTTCAGAGTTGAAATCCAACATCTCAGTGATGTAGGCACCACATTCAACCTCATCCTGATGCCTGAAAAGCCCATCTCCTTCACCTTCTGGCCCTTTAACCAGGAAGCAACCCAGGAGTGATCAGCAAGGATGGCCTGCAGCCGTGTGGGAGGAAACCCCGGGGGGTGGGGCCCACAGGGTCTCTGCATCTTCAGTCCTCTGTCCTCAGCCCTGCTCCTTTCTGCCCAGCCTGCTGAGCAGGTAGAGACAATAAACAGTGAACCGTGTAGTGTCTTTTGTTCTGTCAGACTCATTAGGTGCTCATCACTCCCATGGAGGTGCTCCCTGGGTTAAAGCAGGATCTGGAGCATGCTCGGGGGACCCAGGCAGCCACACTGGAAGCCACCTCTGCTGGTACCCACTCATCCATGGCAGCTCGGGAGCCAGCAGGACCAACTCCAGGCTACCCAGGGCAAGGGGTGAGGCAGAGTGAGATGGAGGAGGGGAGGGACTGCCACTGTGCCAGGAGCTACAGAAGCGTCAGGGAGAGGGACAAAGGAGAACTGGGGAGTCCTGTGGAGAGAACAGAGTGGCCCCAAGAGGCGTGGCCTAGTCCTGCCTTTCTAGGTGGACCTGCCCCGCAGGGGTAAGGCTGGCACAGGGCTCTGGTTGGGTGAATCCTGGGTGGGAGTTCCCTGTGGGGCATGAGGACTGCCTGCCAAGGCCCAGCCAGAGTCCTGGGCATGGCTAAGGCCGAGACCTGTGGGTGAGAACCCCTGCTACTGAAGGGCTGGTGTGAGGTCACTGACCGGGGACAAGAGGCCAACCTGCTTCCTCTACCCCTCCGGGGCCTCCTCTGGACTTGCTCCAGGCCTCATCTTCTTGCTCTGGGGGCTTGTACCCCTTGTCCAAGGGCAGGAGGTAGGAAGACTACTCTGCAGCAGAGCCGTTGATTGTTATTTGAACTGAATGACACTGGTCTGGATTTCCACCCCCTCATCACTCGGGGTCTCACAGCTTCTGACCTGACTCCTCTAAGCCCTCAGATATCCAGGTCCAAGTCCCACAGGCAGGTGGGGGAGCTCGTCCAGCGGAGGCCAGTGGTCCAGCTGGCCTGGCTTCTCCTGCCGGGAGCTGCAGGATCTGGGTCCACCCTTGGAGCCCTTCTGCTTTCCCCACCACGCAATCCTCTTCCCTGTTGTCTTTCTCTGTCCTTCCTGTGCCCCTTTTCTTCTACGGTTCTGAATCAGCTTTGACTCAGAAATGTTACAGCCAAAGAGGTCAAGCTCTGCCTGGAACAGATGGGGAAACTGAAGCCCAGAGAGGCTGCTTGGGTTCCTTGAGGTCACACAGTATGCTTGCTCCCAGAACCCAGGCCTCCTAATTCCCAGTGGGTACCTCCTTCCCCTGGCCCCATCTGCTCTCCTGCCCTCGCTACATTGGGACACATCATTGCCAGCTCAGCCTAGTGGCTGAATGGGGTATTTCACAATGATATGTAACTGCCACAGGAAGGCTTCAAGTCCTCAAGTCTTTCCCTTTCCAAGAGACAGACAAACCAAACTTGAAAGAAGGAATGTCAGACATGATAGATGTTTTGGAGCAGATGAAAAGGACAAGCCTCCCTCATATCTTCCAACAGAGCTGGTCTCTGGTGGCCTTGCTTCTTCTGGGGGTCTGGAAGAGGCCTGTCTCCCTGGCCCTGCTTTGGAAGGCCTCTTCTTTCCACCCTCCTGGGTCCACTGTGGCCTTTGGCTTTCCAAAGATGCTGGCTCCAGGGGCAGGCAGGAGGCTGTAAGGTTGCAGCCGAAGGCCCAGGCCCAGGCCCAGGCCCAGAGTGGGGGTCTAGAGGCAGGAAGCAGGGTGCCCAGGCTGCCCTGCTCCAGGAAAGACACAAATGCTCACAGAGCTACAGCGTTTAATCAAGTCATTTTTAGAGGGCGGGGATGAGACTCCCTAGCACACAGCGAAGGAGGGCTGCTCCGGGGCTCAGGTCTGCTGAGAGTTAGTGGTCTCCTCCTGGGGGGTCGACTGCCTGTTGAGCTTATTGTCAGAGCTGGGCAGCAGGGGCTCCAGCTTTGAGGGCTGCTTGAGGTCCTTGGAGTGGATGGGGGCATTCTGTGGTATGCAAAGTAGGCTGCATGAGTACCCCCCGTTCCCAGCGGGTGACCTGCTCAAGGGCATATTGCCTGACAAACCAGGCCTCAGATCCAGAGCCCACTGGGTCATGCCTGCAAAGACCCATTTCGCCATATTGACACCTAATTTCTCCAGCAGTCCCCAGCGCTCAGGTGAGTGTGTAAAGGTAGCCTTTGCTCTTTGCCTATTTCCTCATCCTTTCCAGGCCTTTCCCTGAGCTCTGGCCATGGGCAAAGCACAGCTGGCTGAAGAGCAGAAGTCAGGGTCTTTGCTTTGTGGGGCTGGGCAGCCCCGGGGTTGAACTTGAGGGGCCGTTGTGAGCAGTCCTGTTTGTTCTTGGGAAGTCGGCAAAGTGGAGCCTACATCGTGGCCACCTAACAAGGGTGTGCTAATTTCTGAGGCTCCGTGGAGTCAGGGAGGTAGGGCCGCAAGCTGCCTTGCCCATGCGTGCAGCCAGTTCTAAAGCACACTCAGAGCCAGGGCATCCCAGAGATGCCTGTGTGGCCCCTCATCCACCGTCATCTCCTTGAGTTTCACAGCACCCCATGGGGGAAGGGGTGGTCTTGGCAGGGGTTTTCTGTTCTACTCAGACAGTGGGGGACTTGAGACCAAGCCTTCGGTTGGAAACAGAGCAGGAATAGGAGCCTAGGACTTCTGATTCCCAATCCCGGATTTGGCCCCACAGTGGTTTTCTCAGGGCCCAGTGACTTTGGAGGTGGGGTGGCTGCCTGCTCCACCACCTGAACCCCCAGGAGCTTCTCCAGGGGGGTCACTCACAGGCTGTCCTATGATGATGGAGTTCGAGGGATGCCTGAAACCATTTTCTTGTTCCTGCAGCCGTGTGGCTAGATCCTGCTTCTCTCGTCCCCAGCGTCGAGCTGAGTCCTCTAACTGCAGGCATAGAGAGGAATAATTGGAGGATCATGGGCAGCAGGGCTAATCCCTGATGGCCAGGACAACCAGGGCCTGAGCCTGCTGTCCAGGCAGAACCCAAAGCTCTGGGTCATGTGGGCTTGACACCTTTCCAAGAGACCTTGGGGTGGCAGGAGTGAGGGTGAGGGGGCCAGATAGTCAGGCAGCCTGACCAAGACACAGATGGACATTTCAACAACATACTGAGCCTTGATCCTGAGTCCACACTGATCCCTGATTCTGGTCATAGACAGCCTGACCCTGGTCACACACTGAGCCCTGATCCTGGTCACACACTGAGCCCTGACCCTGGTCACACACTAACCCTGACCCTGGTCACACACTGAGTCCTGACCCTGGAAACACACTGAACCCTGACCCTGGTCACACAATGAACCCTGACCGTGGTCACACACTGAGTCCTGACCCTGGACACACACTGAACCCTGACCCTCGTCACACACTGAACCCTGACCCTGGTCACACACTGAGTCCTGACCCTGGACACATACTGAGCCCTGACTCTGATCACACACTAACTCTGACCCTGGACACACACTAACCCTGTCCCTGATCACACACTGAACCCTGACCTTCATCACACGCTAACCCTGACCCTGGTAACACACTGGGTCCTGACCCTGGACACACACTAACCCTGACCCTGGTCACACACTCAGCCCTGACCCTGGACACACACTGAGCCCTGACCCTGGTCACACACTAAGCCCTGACCCTGGACACATACTGAGCACTGATCCTGGTCACACACTGAGCCCTGACCCTGGTCACACACTAACCCTGACCTTGGTCACACACTAAGCCCTGACCCTGGACACACACTGAGCACTGATCCTGGTCAAACACTGAGCCCTGACCCTGGACACAGACTGAACCCTCCCTGACTCTGGTCACACACTGAACCCTGACCCTGTTGCACATTGAGCCCTGACCCTGGTCACACACTAAGCCTTGATCCTGGTCATAGACTGAGCCTAGACCCTGCTCACATACTGAGCCCTGGTCACAGGCTGTGTGGTGAGCCTGGTCCAGCCTCATCAACCCCTGCATCTCACCCACCTGGCTTTCGAGGGACAGGATCCGGCTCTGAGCTCGTTCTAGCTTGGCCAGGAGGTTGAACTTGTCTGAAGTATCAGAGAGGAGATCCTGTGGGCAAAGCAGAAACTCAAGTTTGGCCCTAGCTGAGGGCTGTGGCTGGTGTGAGGTCAGGAAACTGTAAAGTATTGGGGCAGAAACCAGTCAGTTCTGAGTTCAGACTGAGCTCCTGAGGCAGAGCCTCAGACCTGGGCCAAACCATCTTCTGGAAGTTCAGAGCAGGGTCTGGCATGTGCTTTTTTCGTGGCTGTTTCCTGCACAGATTTTGGGAATGTGAAGTTTTGACACAACAATGTTTTAATGTAAAATGCATTTGGGAGCCTCTGGGTGAGGTGAAGAAGCTATGAAGCAGCTGACCTCATCCCTCACACTTTACCTGGATGTCCATATGGCTTTCAAACAGAACTTACCTCCAGCGAGTCCTGGGATGGAGAGAAAATTCTCCTGTGTCCCCACCCTGCTCAATCTTCTGTGATTCCAAATGTTCTGCCTTTGGGTTTATGTAAAGCAGGGGGCACCTGAGGCAGCCTCAGAGGTGGAGCAGGGCCTGGGCGTTTCTGGGCCCTGGGCCACCCACCTGTGCGGGCAGCGTCTGTGTGCACTTGGAGTGGCCTGGGCCATGTATCTCTTGCAGCCTCTCTGCCAAGTCTCCTCCTGCTCCCAACTCCCCAGGGTCCACCTGGGATGGAAAAGGGCTCTCCAAGGCTGCACCAAGACCAGGGAATTTCTGCTCCAGAAGGGAGTTTTGAGAGGCCTGTGTAGGGTCCAGGTGGAGGCCAGCCAGGTGGCAAAGGGGTCAAGGTTCAGGGGCCAAGGGTCAACAATTGGCTTGCTTTATCCTGGGATGCTAGATGAGGGTAAAAGTGAAGAGTTGGGGTACACACATTTCTCAGGAGAAAAAGAGCAAGGCCGGAGAGCTGATTCCAGGAGCCTCCAGGCAGACTGGAGACCCTGGGAGGCCTAGCTCCTGGTCTTGATCTTCAACTTGGGTTGTACTGTGGGTGATTGCTGGGCACCTGGTGACCAGCACCGGCAGGCCCAGGCCAAGGGCTTCTTACCGGCAGGGCCTGCTGCTGCAAAATGATGGGGGCTGGCTGGTGGCGGTTCTTATCCAGCTCCGCCCGCAGCTTCGCATTTTCTGCCAGCAGCGCAGAGTAAAGTTCAAGCGGCAGGTTCTCTGTCGTAGAACCTAGGGGCAGGCCAGAGGCTGAGAGCCCAGGGAAGCCTAGAGATACAGCCACAGATGTTGGGGAGATGGGCTCTCCTGCCTCCCACATCCCTGTGCTGACCTGCCCCAGCATTTTACTTCAATCTGCCACCCCTCCCCTCTGCCCCCAAGCCTTCAATGGCTCCCTACTGCCAGCTGGATCAGGTGCACACAGGCTTTAGAGTCTGACCCAACCTTCTTGCTAACTCCTCGTTTGTCTTTGGTGTATTTCAGCCCCTCACTTCTCTCTCTTCCTCCTTTCTCTGTTCCTGGCATTCTCCTGACTCCCTGGGCCTTTGATCTGGCTGTTTCCCCTCCGTAGGTTGCCTCCTCAGTTTCATCCAGACTCCTGGATGACCTCAGGCTTCCTAAAAGGCCAGCCCAACTTTCATTGCTTTCTAAAGGTCCCTAGAAACACCCTCCTGCCCCTGAAACCCTCAGCAGTGAAGGCTAAGCACAGGGCTGGGCACATAGGGGCCCTGGTGAGGTTGTACAGACAGGCTCAGGGAAATCCCTTGCTTTGGGCTGGCCTGATAGGTGTCACCTGGTCCTTTCTGCTCATCAGTGCCTGACTGGCAGTTTTAGGTGGCTTTTGGTTAATATCAATGGAGAAGAAAACCCCCAAATCATTTATTTATTTATTTATTTTGAGACAGAGTCTCCCTCTGTTACGCAGGCTGGAGTGCAGTGGTGCAGTCTTGGCTCACTGCAAACTCTGCCTCCCAGGCTCAAGCGATTCTCATGCCTCAGCCTCTCAAGTAGCTGAGACTACAGGCGCATACCACGCCCAGCTAATTTTTGCATTTTTAGTAGAGATGGGGATTCACCATGTTGGTCAGGCTGGTCTTGAACTCCTGACCTCAAGTGATCCGCCCACCTCGGCCTCCCAAAATGCTGGGATTATAGGCATGAACCACCACGCCTGGCCCTCCCTGCTTGTTTGCTTTGCAGAGGCAGAATCTTTGGAGATATGGGGAGATGAAATAATTCGACAGATTCTGGGGTTAGGAGCTGGGAAGTGTTGCCCCAAATGGCCCTTCTGGGGAAGCCCCTCTCTGCTGTTCTAGTCTGCAGGGCCCTCCTCTGGAGGTCCAGCCGCCTTCTAGCCTGGCTCACACTGTATCCCACCTGTGTTCTGAGGGGCTTCTAGGGAAGGAGGGAGCTCAGGGGATCTCTGGATGAAGCTCCTGAAAGAGGAGGGGAGCAGTACAATCCTGGGTCTCCCAGGCCCGCAGATGTAACTGAGTACAGGGGCCCTCTTTGCAGGTTCCCCTGAAGCTGAGAGGCTCCAGGAAAGCAAAGCCTCCAGGGTTGGGGCGAAGCCGGGGAGCTGATCACATCAGGGTGTGGACCCACCTGTGCTGGGCTTTCCTGGCTGCCTGTTTAGAGGTGGGGGCTTGCTCCTGTCCCGCAGCCTGTCTTCCAGCACCTGCTCCATCTTCTCGATCACCTGGAGGGCAGAGCAGAGGCTGGGCTGGACCCGGGGCTCCCTACCCTGCCAACATTGGTGGGCCTCCGGGACAGCCCCTCTGGCACCTGCCTTCTCCTGGTGCCGCACGGTCTCCTCCAGCGCCTTCATCTTCTGCACCTTGGCCTGGTACTGCTTCAGCAGTGCGGCCTGTGGCTGCTGAGCCTGATACAGGAGGAGCAGCTCCTTCTCTTGATCATTCTTCTGTGAGACGGGGGGGAGGGAACGGGAGAGAATGGGTGCCTGGGAGCCCACCTTGGCCCCTCTGCTAAGTCCTCCACCGGGCTGGCCCCCCTCTCTTCTGTGCCTCCATTCCCTCTGTGCCTGTTCTCCCTTCTCCTCTCCGACTCTTCTCATCCTGATGCCCCCCACCATAGCTCCCTCCCCCTGCCCCCCCACAAGACCCGGCTCACTCGAATCAGCTCATTCTGCAAATGCTGCACCCTGTCCCTCAGTTTCTTCATATCCAGCTCACTCAGCAGCAGTTTCTGCTTCACGGACACTGTCGGGTGAGGAGGTGAGCCAGCTCAGGGAGGAAGCAGCCTCTCCCAGCTCAAATCAGCATGGACAGTAGCGGGAAGGCACATAGTCCTCGGCCCCAGGGCTCGGGACGGGACTGGATTCTGCGTTTGCCATCGCTGAGAGGACCCAGCTGGGCAGGGGCTGTGTGAGTGTCTGTGAGCGTGGGGCTCCTATTTGCCAGAGTCCAGTAGCATGCGTGTCTGGGAAAAGCTCCCCGCCTCCCTGTTGCACCACCCGGAGTCTGCACCCAGGCAGATGCCCCGGTGCCCGTGGTGGCCTGCACACCCTCACCCGTGTGCCGGGCCTCACTGGCTTTGCCCTGGCCGTCTTCCTCCTGCTGGGCCAGGTGGCTCCTCAGTATGCGGTTCTCTCTTTCCAGGATGCTGGCCTGTCTCCGCAGCGACAGGATGTCCTCTGCCATCCTCTGCATGGCCTGCCGGTAGTAGTTCATATCCTGTGGATCCCAGAGCCCAGAGCTGAGCCCACTGCCCCATAGCAACCCTGGTCCCACATCCACACCCACACTTGAAAGTCAGCAGGTCTCCACCAAGGCCAGTGAACAGCAGGAGCCCCACGCCATGGCCCTAAGTCTTAGCAACTCCCTGGAGGGGTGGTTATGACTTGATCCTCACCCATCCTGGCCATGTGAGGGCAGCCACACTGATGTTCTCTCCAGGGGGGGCCACATCAAGTCCTGTGATACCAACACAGGGAGAAAACCCGGGTGTGGACACACGGGAGGAGGCCTATGGGCAACAGAGACTTGAGAAGATCCAGGGCCAGGTTTCCGGGTCCGGCTCAATCATAGATGTTTCTTCACCTTTTCCCTCCCCCTCCCCACCTTCCTATTTATTTATTTATTTATTTATTTTTTGAGACTCTTGCTCTGTCACCCAGGCTGGAGTGCAGTGGCACGATCTTGGCTCACTGCAACCTCTGTCCCCTGTTTAAGCAATTCTCCCACCTCAGCCTCCTGAGTAGCTGGGATTACAGGCACTTGCCATCACACCCAGCTAATTTTTTGTATTTTTAGTGGAGACAGGTTGGCCAGGCTGGTCTCGAACTCCTGGCCTCGTGATCCACCCTCCTCGGCCTCCCAAAGTGCTGGGATTACAAGCGTGAGCCACCATGCCCGGCCCTCCATCCCTACCCTTCTAATGCCTCTCATTCCTCACTTCACTGAGAAGCCAGGGAAGAACCTCCCAGAAATCCCACTGATGCCACTTGGAAGGTGACTGGGCGCCAGCTCCCCAACCAGCCCAGGAGTCAGAAGACGACCCAAGGTCGCCCCAGGAGACCCAGGCTAGAACTCAGGGTGGAGGCTGGGATCCAGCTCCAGGATGTGGGGTGTCAGGTAGGGACAGGGGGACTGGAGTCAGCCGTGAGGTCAGGACCAGCAGCAGTCCTGAGGTCTGACGCTGACTGAGCGTTCGCTGCGTTCCAGGCTTTCTTTTAAGCGTTTTACGCGCCCTCCCTCAGTCAGTCCTCTTAACAGCCCTGCGAGGATAGGTACTATTATCCCCGTTCTACCAATGCGGAAACCAAGGCCCAGAGAGGCCTTGAGTCACTTGCTCGGTTACGAAACTGACGAGTGATAGACCAAGGTGTGAAATCCAGGCCTGCAGGGACTCGAGTCTGTGTTCTGAAGGGCCCTACCATCCTGCCATGAGACCTCCAGACATGGAGGCTTCACAATATGCTGAGAAGTGATCAAAGCAGGCTACAAACAGGAATTATCAGTACAATCCCCAAATGAGAGAAAAATTCATGCCTACCCATGTATAAATATATAGGAAAATTAATAGGCTATATTTATATGCATTTGTTTGATAATCAGAAATTTCCTACTGTTATTTATAAAAGTTTTGTAAAGGGAGTTTCTTTCTTTTTTCTTTCTTTCTTCTTTCTTTTTTTTTTTTTTTTTTTTTGAGACAGAGTCTTGCTCTGTCACCCAGGCTGGAGTGTAGCTGTGTGATCTCGGCTCACTGCAGCCTTCGCCACCCAAGTTCAAGCAATTCTCTGCCTCAGCCTCCTGAGTAGCTGGGATTGCAGGCACCTGACATCATGCCCGGCTAATTTTTGTATTTTTAGTAGAGACGGGGTTTCACCATGTTGGCTAGGCTGGTCTTGAACTCCTGGCCTCAGGTGATCCGCCCGCCTCGGCCTCCCAAAGTGCTGGGATTACAGGCATGAGCCACTGCGCCCAGCCAAAGGCAGTTTTCTTTAAATCTGAACCATAGAAAATAGAAAAGCAGGCCGGGCGTGGTGGCTTAAGCCTGTAATCCCAGCACTTTGGGAGGCCGAGGCTGGTGGATCACGAGGTCAAGAGATCGAGACCATCCTGGTCAACATGGTGAAACCCCGTCTCTACTAAAAATACAAAAAATTAGCTGGGCATGGTGGCGTGTGCCTGTAGTCCCAGCTGCTCAGGAGGCTGAGGCAGGAGAATTGCTTGAACCCAGGAGGCGGAGGTTGCGGTGAGCCGAGATCGCGCCATTGCACTCCAGCCTGGGTAACAAGAGCAAAACTCCGTCTCCAAAAAAAAAAAAAAAAAAATAGAAAAGCAGGTCCCAAATGTGAAGTCAGAAGGGTCTGGTTGGAGGAGCAGCAGGCCGGAGCTGGGATGGGGGAGGAAATGGGCATGGGGAAGTGAGTTTGCCGAGGAGTTTGCTAAGCCCTGGTGGCTTGTGGACTTCCCGAAGCTGTGGGAGGCTGTGTACAAACGGGTGGGTGCTCACGTCTCCAGGAAGCAGAGCTCTGCCTCCAGCTCCCACGTGGGCCTCATGCTGACTGCGGAGACCGCCCACCTTCTCCGCCACTGCCTCCCACCTGCTACATGGCAGGCCGTGGTTTCTAGAGCAGGGGCTCCCCCGGCAGCAGGGGCCCACCAGACACCACTTGTCACCTGCCCCTGTCCAGCCTCCTGGCTGGGCTCCCTCTAATTGCACCAGTGCCAGGTCCCTCTCCCCAGCACCTGCCCCTGTCAAATTCCAGGTCTTGGCTCCTCCAGATCTGCCCATCTGGTGTCCTCAGGCAGCATTGTTAACAGAGAGACTCTGTCTAGAGACCACACACACACACACACACACACACACACACACACACACACAGAGCTTTGCAGTCAGCCCCAGATCAGCAGGCCAGCTTGGCCACTCACATGCAGTGTGAGCTCAGCCAGGCCCCTTCACCTTTCTGAGCCTGAGTCCTCGTACAGAGATGCCTGGCTTTGCTGTGAGGCTGAGTTGGTGCATGAAGCCCCAGCCCAGGCAGATATAATTTGGAGGATGCTGTTCTCCTCCACACCTGTTTCTATTCTAATCACTGCTTTAATCAACAGGTCAGACCCCTTCCTGTTCCTCCTTGCTGCCCTGGGAGCTCCCAGGCGCCTCCTTTGCTGTGCTCTCAATCTTCAATTTATGGAAGCCTGTGACTGAGGGGGGACCGACCGGAGAAAGCACATGATATTTTGGCAAAGGAAATTTGGCCCCTTCTTTCTTTGCCCAGCCTGGTTCAAGCTCTTAATATGCCTGCCCTGGACAATTACAGCAGCATCCAAAAGGGCTTTCTTGGGTTCCAGGGTTATCTCCTACAGAAACACGCACACACACATCCAGGAAAACACGGGCAGGGATGCCCGCTTCAGCACAGCTTGTGGTCTTCTACAAGGGCGTGCTCAGTCTCTGGGCCACAGGCTGTGGTCACAAAGGATGACCTAGATTTAATTGTACTGACACACAGAGATGGTCATGCTCTATTGTGAAAGGAACGTGCACGTGGCAGATGAATATGATCCTGTCTGTAACTGGGCTGTGTGTGTGCTCATGGAGGGAGTCCTGGGGGAAGGGGCTGCCAGCTCCTCAGCCCACCCATGGGTCTGATCACCCCCTCTTCTCATTCAGAGGGTCATCTTTCTTTCTTTTTTTTTTTTGAGACGGAGTTTCACTCTTGTTACCCAGGCTGGAGTGCAATGGCGCGAGCTCGGCTCACCGCAACCTCCGCCTCCTGGGTTCAGGCAATTCTCCTGCCTCAGCCTCCTGAGTAGCTGGGACTACAGGCACGCGCCACCATGCCCAGCTAATTTTTTGTAGTTTTAGTAGAGACGGGGTTTCACCATGTTGACCAGGATGGTCTTGATCTCTTGACCTTGTGATCCACCCGCCTCGGCCTCCCAAAGTGCTGGGATTACAGGCTTGAGCCACCACGCCCGGCCTCAGAGGGTCATCTTTCTAAGACCTTCCTGTTCTTCAACTCAGCTGTTTTGAGGCATGAGCAGAGCTCTGTTATTTTTTCTGTTTTGTGACGGAGTCTCACTCCGTCACCCAGGCTGGAGTGCAGTGGTGTGATCTCGGCTTACTGCAACCTCTGCCTTCCTGGTTCAAGCCATTCTCTGGCCTCAGCCTCCCAAGTAGCTGGGACTACAGATGTGCACCACAGTGCCCAGCTAATTTTTGTATTTTTAGTAGTGATGGGTTTTCACCATGTTGGTCAGGCTGGTTTTGAACTCCTGACCTCAGGTGATCTGCCCGCCTCAGCCTCCTGAAGTGCTGGGATTACAGGCATGATCCACCGCTCCTGGCCCAGAGCTCTGTTATTAACAACCTGCCTTGACTGACAAAGAAAGCTGGGGCCCAGAGTGAGGAAGGAGGTGGAGGGAGAGCATAGCTTTGTCCCTGCCTCCGCCCGATGGTCCCTGTTGGACTCCAATCCTCGGACGCTAGTCCTATAGGCCTCCACAGGTGCCTATCCCCCTCCTCCATCCAGCCTAGCTGCTCTGAGAGTGAGGGCTCCCCCAGGGCATAGAGAGGGACCCCGGCCCTGGCTTACCGCTCAGTCTCTGTCCTCTCCCAGTGCTCTGCATCTGTGGGAACCTGAAGGACATGCATTCCCTCCTCGGCTTCCCCCACCCACACAGCAGCGACCTTGGGCAGCTCAGCTGGGCTGGGAGGTTACTGCCTGAAGATGGGAAGCCCTGACCCTCCCCACAGCCTGCAGCTGAGCCTCCCCAGCCCCCAGGGCCATGCTCGGCATCACAGCCCAGCCTTGAGAACACAAAGGACACCATGGCCCAGATTCCTGTTGCAGTCTTGCGGCCTCCCCTCCTCCAATGCCTTCCCTCCAGCCCCTCCCCACTTGCCAGTGTGCTGGGGGAGGGGCAGGCACCAGCCGCTTCCCTGTCTTGTCTCTGGGCTGAGCCTCCTCTAGAAGGGCCGACTCCAAAGCCATTGCGCCTGACCCTAGTGCCCACTGCATTCTCCTCACCCACTGGCACCGCCCTTTCCCCAGCCGAGACCCAGCTCTCAGAGCCTGCCCAGGTGAGAAATTCGAGGTGGCCCTGGGTCTGAATTGCCTAAGCTGGAGGGGGCTTGTGGCAAGACCCCTCTTGCTGCTCAAGATGGATGGGGAAATGAATGGAGGCCCAGAGCAGGGAGCCAGGTGAGACCCAACGGGACCCTT